CTGGCTGGGTGGGTAGCACCCATGATGCCTGCGTGTTTTGGAACTTCAGCCTGATGGGCCTGGAGAGGATGCTTCGTGCTGGGTAGGGGTGACATGTAAGGGGTGCACAAGCACCCCCTGAGTGTGGCGTTTCACTCCCTGCAAAAAGGGGCGGTTACCCCGTGGGCGGTCGCCACTCGCCACCCTGCTGCTGACATAGCCGTCACCATCTGCAGGCGGTCCATGATTGCCCCTGGCTGCCACTGCCAGTGGCATCTGCGGGAGCTCCGCACTTACATCCACTGGGCTCCCACCACTGCCACTGCACTCCTGCCACCGCCAGCACAGCTGTGCACCCCCAGCTGTCGGGGGCATGCACTACTCATGGTGCCAGGGATGCCAGATCTGCAGCTGGGTGCCATCACCCCTCCCCTGCTCATTGGGAACCCTGCCTACCTGCTCCTGCCTTGGTTGATGCAGCCCTATGCTGGCCACCTGGATCCCTGCTAGACGCACTTTAACCACTACCTGCGCCAGACTGGTGTCCTGATGAAGTGTGTCTTTATCTGCCTCGAGCTGCTGGTGCACCCCCACCACCTGCCTCGAGTTCACCAAGGAGAACCTCTCCCAGGTCATGATCACAGTGTGTATGCTGCATAACATCTGCAATGCGCAGAGGGAGGTCTTCCATGAGGCCTGGGTGAGAGGAGGCATGGCAGGTGAAGGACATCTGGCAGCAGGACCACCACCTACAGTGGCAGGGGGTAGCAGTGGTTCCCCCTCCCACTGAGGCTCCAGGAAAGCCATGCCCCTACCAGTGGGGGTCAGGGCACTGGGTGCAGAAGGCTCTAGCCAGTTCCCCACCTGCTGAACTGTCGAGCAGCTGAGCCCACAATCTTCCAGTTTTCCCACAAGGATATTGTGGGATACTAGATCTAAGGCCTTTTGGAAGTTTAGGTATATAATGTCTACCGCATCTCCCATGTTCAGGTGGCGAGAGACCTGGTTGTAGAAAGAGATGAGATTGGTAAGACAAGACCTACTCACAATAAAGCCATGCTGACTGTCATTCAGAATCTTACCTTCTGCGAGCGTATCGCACATAGATTCTTTAATGAGCTTTTCCAGGATTTTCCCTGGGATGGAGGTTAGGCTGATTGGTCTATAGTTGCCTGGGTCCTCCCTCTTCCCCTTCTTGAAGATGGGCACAATGTGGCCTTCTTCCAATCCTCAGGGATCTCCCCTGTGTACTACGAATTCTGAAAGAGCTTTGCTGGGGTTCCACAATGACCTCAGCCAGCTCCTTCTGCACTCTCGGATGAAGTCCATCTGATCCTGCTGACTTGTAAATGTCTAGCTTTTCTAGTTGGTATTGCACCTGCTCAGCATCCACAGTGGGGAGGCTGTCAGTCCCGGCATGTTCCCTATAAGCCTTATCTTGCATGACTTTCCACATGGTTTGGTGAAATACCGAAGCAAAGTGGGCATTTGGGAGTTCAGTTTTTTTCCTGAATGTCGGTTACCAGTTGTCCCGAGATGTTAAACAGGGATCCCACCCTTCCATTTGTTTTCCTTCTACTGCCTACATATCTAAACAAGAACTTCTTATCGTCCTTGACTTCAAAGAGCTAATTGTATCTCTTGCTACACTTCCTGTCCTCTTCTCACTTCCAATGCAGGGAAGAGACAGTAAATCCACCCATCATGACCCCCACACAATGAAGATGTATCAGATGGCCAAAGGGCAGAACATATGCCCTGACTGCACATCAGAGTGAGGGTGGATTGTATAAGCAGCAGGGAAATCATGAGGATGGTTGTATTCAGGAGAAGGTGTTGCAGCAGCAACAGCAAAAGGGCTGAATGCACAAAAGAACAGCAAAGCATCAAATGGCCATAGCTAAATTAAGGTAGGGCTGTTTAAAGCTATGCCTATAATGTTCTTTTTAAAATTAGTTGTGATTAAGAAATACTCGGGGAGGCATGTTTCCGAGCTAGAGTTCTCAAGTTCCCCTGTAGGGTTACCACTATTATTTGCACAGCATTGTATTTCTTGTCAGTTTGATGAAAATAGTGAAACAGGCCCAGGAATGAAGGTTATGAGAAAAAAAGCAGCAGTGTTTTTTAGATAAGCGTATACTTTGTGCTTCTGCTTCACATAGTAGAACATGTCTAAACTGGAATTATCTGATTGCCACTTAGCTGACATATTTGCATGTACTAGTCCAGATGCTCCACAGATATGGACAGTTACCTTAGTCTAAGCCTAGTGTAAATGACACAGATTTGTATTTTGGGACAGATGTTTGTGGAGTGCCCAGTAATCACATGCTATCTAATAAGTTAGCAATGAATTAGTATGGAGTTAAATCTTTAGTGTAGACAAAATCTTGAACAAGGCAGGAGATAGTCCAAAGAATGAAGCACGAAGGGCTAAAATAATTCATCATGTCTATCTTATTAAGATGCTAATGTTTCAAAATAGCTAATTTAGTATCCTTTCTTGAGCTCACACAAATTAGTTTAATAAATAAATGAATCTTAATAAATAAATAAGCTTAATAAATAAAGATTAATGATAAGTGGCTAGCTAATTTCAATATGTAGTTCAAAAAGCTTTGCAAAAGTAATAAATATGGGCTTATTAGTCTGTAGTCTTAGAATTTCTTTCCATAATAATTTGTTTACAATTTTTCCATGTTGCTTGGGAATGCAACATCTTCAGCAACATTTGTTTTCTGGCCTCATTATAGTCTGTGGTGGAGTCACATTTTATAGTATTTGGAGAAGGTAATGAAAAAAAATATGGTGAAACTGTATAACTCTTCTTTCGCCTCTGCCTTTACAATATATGATTATTTAGTGGCAACATGTAAGTAGTTTAGCATATAGATGGATATGAATTGATATAGAATGATCATGTAAATAGATCCAGGAAACTATCTAATTTTTAAATGTGTAATCCCCAATACCAAATTGATCCATCTGGTTGTGAATGCCTACAATGTTATTGGGCAATCCCTTGCATAAAGCTGAAGGGATTGCCCAATGTTTTATGCAACTCAGTTTGGAAATTTCTATCACAAACCTTTTAAAGGATGAATATTTAAATTGATATTATTAAATATCACTTTAATTGAGCTGCTTTGAAACATTACAGAAAGGTGAGAGATGAGTTACAGCCACTCCAAGGACACAGAACTTGAGTGCTTTTGATGGGCTTCATGATTTTATATCCTGCTTGAACTAAATCACTGAGAACCAGATTTTGCCTGGCCCTGTTGTAGCTGTACTGGTGAAGTAGGGGTAAAAAGGACATCTTTCCATCTTAGCCTGCCAGTTTAAGGGCCCGGAAAAAATTGCGGTGGTCCACAGTAATATGTGTCTTGGTGCTGTCTCTAAACTGATAGTTATATCACTTCTAGTGCTGAATTGTACCTAAATGGCACAATTGATGTTTATAGGTAATTGCTTGGATGTATAGGAAAGATATGAAACTGGAGTGTATTGATTATATATAATTGGAATGTATTCCCTTTTTAATTGCCTAAATCCAGTTCTATGAAAACTACTTGTACTTTGTTACATAAGATTTGAAAAAAAAATAATGCAAAGTGATTTAATCAATATTTCTCCTGAAACAAAATTAATTTACATGATATTTTAATGATTAATATAAATGCTTGTGCACTTTGGTAAGATTTCTACTCTTTCATTCTGTCAAAAATGTTTATTCAGAAACAGGTTTCTTTGATTTTCTGTTCCACACAGAAAGCATAAAGGTATAGTAGTAGCAAAAGAAATATTGGCTGAGTAGCAGGGTGACATTCAGATAATTAGCAGAAAACTAAGCTGGCTGTTGAAATCCATAGAAATCAAATTCCAAATAAGAACCTACGTGTCAGGAAATTCTGAAGTAGCTATGGGGCTCTGGAAGGTCTTTTTATTAGATTTGTTTATAGCTATGGTTATTTTAAGAAGATTATAATGCTCTGATTAAGGGTTACTTGTATTTGCTATTATAAACCTCTATTGTCAGAGGTTTCTCCTATAACTTGAGAAAAAATGTTTCCATATGAAAATTGGCATACAGTGGCTCAGGATGAATAGTACTTTTTTCTAAAATTTGGGGAAAAAGTTTTTGGCTGCTTCTCTGTTTGAGGGAGGCAAATACTTAGTGGTTTTATAGGCTTTTTGTTCTCCCTTGGCAAAGCCTAATACATGGGAAAAACAATTTTTCCAGGCCCTTATTCTTTTATGTCAACTATTTCCTTTTTTTAATATTCAAAACATTGAACTTTTAGTAGTTGTTACTTTTTAATACAGCCAAAATATAATTCAATAAACAGCAATGACTCAATAGCTGTAAGAGCTACATTTTATATTTGGTTACAGATTAAAAAAATAAAACAATACAAATGATTTAGTCGCTATTTCTCTTGAAACAAAGTAATTTACATGATATTTTAAACAATCAATATGAATGCTTGTACATTTTGGTAAGATTTTGCCTGTCATTATGTAAAAAATACAGAGCATTATCATTTTCCTTTTTGATTTAGTTTGCTTATTAATGTTGTTTAGACCAGATGCAGTGGGGTTTTAAGTATTTTGCTGGAATGCTACTTTTTAAATGTTCAATATTAGTGACTCATTGAAAGTCTTCTACTTAAAATGATTCCTCTAGTCCGGGGAAGCATCCATTGAATGGGCAAGATTTATTCTTTCCCATAAATCCATTATTCACATAGCTGCCACTGTAAGCTATTTGTCTTCCTCCAAATTACTATAAAACTTCTATGATGTCAAATTATTATATTATATTATATTATATAACAACAAACAAAGAGACAAATGAGCCATGAATTGCTATGGAAAGAAATGGATGGCATCAGAAACCTCTTATGATTCATGTGGGCCACAGAGATAAAGAGAAAGAAAGAGTGAGATAGGCTAGTATTTATGTTATGCTTAGTTATGCTTTTCCCTTCTCTCAGACAGCAGCAGATTATATTTTTTCCCTACTATGTTCAGTGGTCCAGGGCCCGGGCCAGGCTTCCTAGTTTAGTATTCGTATGTAATAAGGTTTTCTATATCTTCATTATATCCAGAATAATTCTTCCATACCACTTATTTGAAAAGCTACATGTCTTCATATGTAAAGTGATTCATTCTTTTCACAGTTGTTAAATAGATGTTAACCAGGGAGCCGATTTGTCTGCATTATCTTATATTTTTACATTGTCACATCTCATCACTTGATTGTCTTTCTAAAATGGCCAGAATTGTCACTCCCTGTTCTGCCCTCATGGCAGACCTAAAGGCCACTACACAGTAGCATTGTATTGTATAAACACTGCTGAGGATTTGACTGTTTGATTTCAATAAAAGTTTCACCACAGTAAGAAATGAACAAACATGTACAGAATTGGATCCACAGATTGAAATCACTAATGTGCTATGTACATTTTTTCATATACTCGTTTAAGGCTTGGTTCATTCAATCTCTTTTAGTTCTCCTTATTTGCAGTTACAGCTTTACTCACAGAACAGCTGTGGCATTTATCTTATAATGACAACTATTTGATAATCTTGACAAAATCCAGATGTGTGTCCTTAATGCTGAAGTCTAGCCATATTTTTGAAAAGAATTCTTTAAAAAAAGAACAATAATATGCAGCAGATGAAAGTTTTACCTTCACTTTTCAATAGGTTTATATTCTCAGTGAGTGTGGGCTCAGTGCGGACTGACAATTTTTTAGCTTATTGCAGGTTGTTCATGATCACATACAGCAGTTTTTGATGTATTTATTTTTACTGAGTTTACATAAATGTACAGTCAATATATTGAAATATTTTGTTATACTTTAGCTAGTATTATGGATATTACTGCAATGAATTAATCCATGAGTTACATATTTCAGACAATGCCCACTGAAATCAAAATGTTCCTGGGAGTCTTTCCAATACTGCAGAGAAAAATAGGAATCTACTTGCAACTACAGTGACATTGCTAGTAAGAGTGGATTGAAAGATAAGTATTCTATGTAGTGAATGTAGAGTCATGGTCATTTTTTGTTGTTGTAGGAGTGACCTCTTGAGTCTTGTTTTGATTTCAGTGAAAGCTTTGCCTCTTGCATTCAGGAGCCTTCGTCTCCTGGTTGACAGTTGAATTGTTCCAGTGGAATGCAGCTGCATGGGAGGTCATAGTCATGGAGGGACTGGCAGCCTCTCAACCAGCTCAAACTAGTACCATCAAGGGCATTAAATATTGAAATGAAGGTATGGGACCGGGCTCTACTTTTAGTGCAGCGCAGTGCAGAGCAGAGTGCCTCCTGCAGCTTCGATAATTCTCTGTTCTTCCATTCTCTTCCGCCCATTTAGGGCTGTGGCACTATACTCAACTTTTGAGCAATGTTCAAAGACGGAATGCTTTTCTTTATAAACATTAGCAATTGTTAAATTCTTTCAAGACATTCTGTGAACATTTAATACCAGTAAATCTTGTTAGATTCAGAGTTCAGCCAAATAACAAAAAGGAAAAGTTTAATTTTCCTCTGCCTGCCTTTCTGCTCACATTTTTCCTTATTCCCTCCCTTCTTCCTTAGTTCTTCACACCTTCAACTTCACATCTTTTTAATCTGTTTTTACACCTGGGAAATTTGTCCTGTTTTGTCTGCCAAATATCTTACATGTTCTTCGTTCCATCCCTGCTTAACAACCCTCACTAAAGCAGAGTTCTTCCTTTCACCTCTCTTGACTTCTATGCCTTATTTTTGTCTGATTTATGGTCCAATCTTGCAGACATTTACAAGGAGAGTAAATTTATGCAATGAGCTACTTATCCAGTAGCTGAAAAAATGGGGTCTTTATTTTGTAACCTTTTTATGATGGAACATTTTTATTCTATTAAGTACAACGTTCATATATGGCGCTATCACCCACGAACCCATAACTTTTTTTATAATGATAATTTATGAATTTGTAAAAAGATGGTAAAGACATAAAAATAAGAAAGCATTTTACTGTCTTTTCTTGAGCCTAAGGTGTGTATACCATGGTCCCATGGATTTTTTTGTAATGGTGCCTACATACGTGGGGTTTTTTTTCTATCAATAATTTAATAAAAGCAAATATAATACCCACTACATGTAAAAAAATTTGTCTTTTATCTTTTAGTGAATAAAATTTTCTGTTCCAGGAATACCAGAAGTCTGAACTTCCTGAGTATGTAAAGATAATAGAAGTTGGGCCCAGAGATGGATTGCAAAATGAAAAGGTGAATTTTACACAGATATACCAGCATTGTTATAATTTGCACAATATTTTTATTCTAATCTATCTGATTGGCTATTATACATGGATATTTAAATGCAATGACAAATCACAGCTTCTGCTTGTGTTAAAAGTTTGATTTGCTTTGCACCATCTATATTTCTATTGCTAGTTGAGTTTAGTAGCTGTGTTGTGGACACAAGCTAGTAAGCGTTCATGCCATGCCTCATACAAACAGGCACCAACCCTCATTGGGGCCCTTCAGTACTACTGTAATAATAAAGTTTCTGTGCAACGTTTCTGGTCTCAGATATAGTCCACCTAAAGTTGTGGGATGGGAACTGGATAGTGTCTTTATATAAGGGGAAGGAAAGTAAGCTTTATACAATTCGCCTGATTCTTTACTATACCCCAGAATTGGCTGTTGTTTCCACAAACAGTATAGCAGACTTGTGCCTTATTCTTACTTGTTCCCTTGCCATGATTGGAGTATTATGATAATAAACAAATGAATTATTTCAGCTTTTTGGCTTGCTTGTAACTAGTATGCCATATTAGAGCATACAAATAGCGACTCAGAGTTTTTTGGATACAGTGGGATATAAACTTAAAAATAAAATCAAAACTAATAACAAATATTAAGTACAGTAACTGATTCCTAGGTCCCTTCCTATTTGGGAGACACTTCATTACTATCCCTGCTGTTACTCATAAACCCATTTGTGAGCAATATGGAATGGTGTCTTTAGATTTCATTGCTCACAAAGAGTATCTGGTCATGGTTTAAAGTAGTGTTCCTTGTTTTGTATTATGGACTTTTTATTTGTAAAAGATATTTATTGCATAACATATTTTGCATGTTTTATGTTCATAGGTCATAGTACCAACTGATATAAAAATTGAGTTAATCAACCAGCTATCCAAAGCAGGATTGCCTGTCATAGAAGTGACCAGTTTTGTTTCCTCAAAATGGGTACCTCAGGTAGGTAAACTGCATGTTTAAGTGGAACTCTGAAATCAAAAGAGTAGTTATAAAAAATCAATACTAGTGAATTTTTTCACAACCTAGCTTACATTAGATGCGAAAAAGAAGGTGGAATTGAGCTAATCTGTTTTATAAAATAATCTGCTGCAATACCACTCACAGTTCAAAAGCCTTAGATTTCCACCTACTCCGTAGAAGACTAGGTACTAAGGTACCCAAACATTGAAGTACCTTTAAATATTTGGATCCTCCAGTCTGCTTTTTAAGGTGAATTCCAGTTACTAATACTGAGGTCTTGTAACATGAATGCTTTATTTTTCTTGGGCATTTGTAACTGGAAGGCTTTAAAACCGAAAAAAACTGTTGGTGTCTATATGGATTTTTGGCATCTTGGATGATCCAACAAAGAACGAAGGTGTTTCAGTGCTGAGTCTTGTACCACCTATCTTTTAACTGCCAGGAAGCATAATGGAATCTACAGCCCTGAGTTAGGTGTCTAGTTTTCTTATAAAATGCCTGAAGTTAATTGTTTCACTCGCACTGAATGTGGAGCTGCCTAAGCTAATTTGTAGGACACACTGAAAAGGAACTAAGTACTAATTCTAGTCTGCAGAAAGAAACTTTCCTACTCTCAGGATTCACAATCCTAAACTCTTTCCTGGAATTAAATGCCTAATCCAGCTCTTTTTCACAAAATATGGGTAGGAACACCCTTTAACAAATGGTACAAAACAAACACCAACAGACTCTACTGCCTGAATAAGGGTGTTTGTGTTTGAAAACTTGCAAAGAACAAATTTTCCAACTATTTAGTTGGTCTAATAAAAGATATCACATCTACCCAAAGAACCGTCTGCCTAGGTCATAGTTAAGCATCTACCTAGGATGTGGGAGATGTGGGTTAAATTCATTCATTTGTTTGTCTGAGAGGATTTGAGCCTGTATCTGGAACATGAATGCTCCAATATGATATTCTGGTGTGAGGCTCTGTCAAAGCTTTTCTATTTAGCCTAGAATAATTAGTCCCTGGGCTGGAGAGACGTGATAATGGATAGGGAACTTGCCTGCAAAGGGGCAGACTTAGGTTCCAGTCATTGCTATAATGAATATTTAGATATTTTTAATTAAGTTGTCATTGGAGCAGGGACTGAAATTTCAGGCTACGTACAGGCATTACATTTCTACTGGGAGAACTGCCACTCTCCTAGTAGAAACCAGGGTCCCTGGCATATGTTCATTTTATGGCCTGATGATATCTGATTCCATATCCCAACAATAATATTTCCTGCCATGCCAAAAATGCATGGCAGTATATGTGATTTTAGGATAAGGTATCAGATCCCAATTGTGCCAGTACAAGGGGAGGCCAGGGTCCCAGGCTCCTACTGAACTACCAAGTTGAAAACTAGGTGGCTGTAGTACGACCAAACAATCTTAGGTTCCAGTCCGGGGACCACAGTGCAGCCAGTTCAAGACTCCAGTGCAGTCTTTGGGCTGGGATAATCAGTTGATTGTGAGTCTCAACTGCAAGATTGCACCAGAGGTGGTTCAAAGCTCAGATGTAGTCCCGTGGCTGAGACTAGCAGTTGGTTGATCCCAGCACTAGAACTGGGAGACTTGAGGAGCGTTGGTTACACTACCATACGTTCAATTGAAGGTGTGTTGGAAACCAGTCACAAAAATGTTACACATCCTTTGTGGAATTGTGTTGTATTTAGTATCCTGTTTTGTCACACTGTTAATTCCTTGACTATGTAGCAGATGCAATTTGTGATGTGATTAACAGGTTAATTGCATCTTAGTTGTAATGTTTGCTAGTGACCTAGGAGCATACAATTATTGATTCAGTTTCTCCTAGGGGAAAGATCTCCCCTGCAAGAAAGATCTCCCCTACATCTTTACATCTGGAAGATCTCCCCTGCAAAAAGACTTTCAGAGGAATGAACACGTGTACCCTCCTTTTCTGGTCCAGTCCAGGAGGGAAATCAAGAAGCAGGGCAATGCTTCTTAGGCTTCTCCGAATAAAGAACTTGCCTAATTTGGGGAATGAGTTGGGGGAACATTGCCCCGCTGCTTCACTCCCCTGCTGGTTCAGTCTGTTCTGGGGAATGGGCAGGAGGTTTTACCCTAGTGCTCTGTCCACTGTACTCATAAAACTGGAAGCAGATCAGAGGAACAGCATCCAATTGCTCCCCACTCATTCCCAAGCTTGGGGGTCTTTTCTCATGATTCCATTCCCACCTGGGCCTGGAAGGAGTAGAGAAGCTGCTATACTCCCTCCCTCCCCAGATCTGTGTCACCCTGGTCTGGAGAAGATATAAAGAGCAGGGGAGAAAATGTAGCTGCAGGCAGAATGTCTCTACTGCTCCTTCTCCAAGAAATATTTCTAAAGGTGAACATTTTTCAGAAATTTCTATCCCCTAGAAATGAACACGTGTTCCAGGCCTGAGTATTTCTGAGAGGTGAGTTCAGAGAATCACTAAGTCGTAGAGCAGGGGTGGGCAAAATATAGCTTGCAGCCAGGTTCAGCCTGCCAGGCAATTCCATCTAGCCCACCATAAGCCCCCTGTAAGCTCTAATCCTCACTGCCCCCATGAAAGCCAGTCTCCATGCAGGAGGTGCAGCTCTGGTTGCTAAGAGACCAACCCTCACCCCAGTCTGGCCTTTGGGCAGCCCGGAGCCCAAGTTAGAAAGTGCTGGAGACAACAAACCTCTACATGGCAGAGGCTTTTGCCTGGCCACCCCATGGCTGTTTCTAGCCTCCCTGCTTGCAAGTCAGGAAATTTCCATTGGGCTGGGGTCCAGGGACTCCTGTTGGGGGAAAGAGGGCTGGGAGTGCAGGGACCCAGTACTGTGGGGTGAGGCTGGGCTGTCCCTGCACGCTGCAAGAGTGCAGGATTTGCATGCTATGGGGCTGGGTGGAGCTGGCCCTGCATGCTGCCACTACATGCAGCTGGGGACTTGGGAGGGAGTGCAGGAGCAGTATGTTATAGGACCAGGTAGCGACCAGGCAGTTATGAGACCAGGCTGGCCCTGCACCCTGCCACCATGTGTGGCAGGGGACTTAGGTAGGTAGGAGCGCTATTGGTCCAGGTAGGGCTGGCCCCACATGCTGCTGCCATGTGCAGCCAGGTACGTGGGTGGGAGCTGCATGTTATAGGGCCAGGTGGGGCTGGCGCCACATGGTTTCATAGTTTCATAGTTTCTAGGGTCGGAAGGGACCTGAGCAGATCATCTAGTCCGACCCCCTGCCATGGCAGGAAGAGCACTGGGGTCAAATGACCCCAGTAAGGTGGTCATCCAACCTCCTCTTAAAAACCCCCAGGGTGGGAGCCTGCACCACCTCACTTGGAAGCTGGTTCCAGA